GAGTGTCAGATCTTGGAGTTACAGATGGTTGTGAGCTGCCATGTGCATGCTGGGAATTGAACCTGGGTCTTCTGGAAGAACAGTCAGTGCTCTAAACTGCTGAGCAACCTCTCCAGCCCCCAAAAGATGATCTTTGAAAACAGACATTGAACCCTAAGTAAGAAGTATGTCTATGACGAAACAACCATATTTTTTAAAAGCAGGGTCTTATACCTTGCTGCAATTTAAAGAACTAATACATGCACTTGGCCCATCATTTTAGTAAGAACATTTTGTTTTTTAAGAACTAAAGATCTATTCCCTGAGGCTGTTTAATGAGGCTGAAGAAAAAGTGGATTTGGCCTAAATGATGAGACTTTTCTGCTTGGTTCTTCAAAGAGAGAAAATTTTATATAGAAAGGGAAAAACCTAACTGTTATTGAAATATTTGTGACCTTTGACACTGAGCATATTTTTTAAGACAGTATTCTAATGCATGCAACAAGAGAATTATATCAAAATCTAAGTGTTTTCATAGGTTCTGGGGTGGGGGTCAAGTCATTTAGCCATGAAGGGGTCTGGCAGCCTGTGCCATAGGACAGAATCCTTAGACGACAACTGCTTCGACATTCTCAATAGCCGACTCAGGATTAAGGAACTAGTTTGTGACACTATAGTTCACTGGGAAGAGTCTTCACGGATATGATTTCCAAAGGTTTTTAGAGATACCCTGAGTCAGTGTAAATCTCCAGTTAGGATGTAGTTTTTCATCTCATGAACTTAACTGTTAGAGTTTGTTGATTTTGCTTGAAAGCACATATGAAGCCAGGCATGGTGGTCCATCTTTGTAATTCCAGAACTCAAGAGTTTGAGACAGGAGGATGGCTGCAAGTTCCAGGACAGCTTGGGCTAACGAACTGAGTCTCCGTTGCATCAAACAGAAAGAAAAAGATGAATTAACAACTGAACTTACATACATAAGAAGCAGAAAGTGCATAGTGTAGTATTGGCCGCTTTGCATTTCAGATCTCAAAGCAGAGTTAATATGCATTTGTGTGGGTTGACAATAACTGACAGACTTTTTTTTTTGGAAACATCTATTGAGCATCTGTTATATACCAAGAAGGGGAATAACAGGATCCTTGAAACAAGGAGTCACAGCTGCCCTGCTGTTGCTGTGTTCCCAACATTAGTTGACGTGACAATTAGAACATGACAAGCATTCAGTGATACAGATTAGAACATGACGTTGTAGACAAATTCTTGGGAAATCACAGAGTAGGAAGAGAGAAACTCCAGCTAGAAAGAGCATAGAGGGGTGCCTTATAGAAGAAGGAATGTCTTTGAAGTGGGTGGGGCTTGAATTCCAGGTAGAAATTTGAGAGCAAGGAGCATCATTTTTAGTATAGACCAAGTTTGAATCATTCAATATACTGAGGAACCAGGCAGCTACTGTGTATGAGTGAAATGGACTTTGCAGGGACATGATGAGAACAACCTCACTTAGATGCAAGCAGCCACCCACTCTTGCTAAATGTTGCCATCCACAAGGAGGCCAGGAGACCAAGCTACCCACGCGAGCAAGAGAAGCCAGGTGTCTGGGCTCTCCGCGGCATCTCTCCACTTGAAGTGTTGACAAGCAGTCGGGAGATGTGCTGTGGCTTCTGCTTTCCTGATGCTTTGGAAAACTTCATCTCCTTGTGTGGGAAATGATCCCCATCTCACTCTCGGGAGCAATGACGTCACTGAAGCATAAATCCCTTCAGCATTGCTGGCTGTGTTATTTATAAACACATCGATTGCATGTTAAAAGGAGTAAGCTCAAAATTAGAATTTCCTATTTCAAATGACCCTGTGAGATTAAAATGATTAGTTCCGATTTTATAGGTTTTGCCCTTTAAGAAAGGTTAGCTACACTATTTAAATACTAGTTAGCCTTTAAAGAACCTTATTTTAAGGCTTTCAAGAATTTCCGTTGACTTACCTTGTAAAACAGTTAAATAAGCCATTTTATCACAGCCAGTGAGGCTGGCTGAAAGTGATAGACTGTAGCAGGAGGGCTTTCCTAAAATGATAACATAAAAATCTTTTAACCTTGTCTTTTGTGCACAAAGGCACCTTTAAGGGCGTCTGCAGTAAGTGCTGTATTAACACACAAGTTTAGTTAATTACAGCCACTATTCTCACGTATCTTAGCTGAGTGTGAATACCAAGCGATTTAACAGTATGCCCCTGAGCATTAATACCTAATGAAATTGGATTCCTTGTTTCCTCTAATGACCTCATTGCTTTTCGAAATATGGTCATGGCAGGTAAATGATCAATAGCCTTGAAATTGACACCCGTACTGGATTATAGCTGCATACCTTTATTATTAAGGATTGTGTGAGTTATATCATGTGCAGCAGGAGTGATCATGTATATTGTAGCATGAATGTTTTCTTGGATGATTTAGACGGTAGGAAAATGTGAAAATTCACTGTTTGATCACGGAGCAACACCTTCATATCCATAGTGTACCATTCAAGTTAGGATAAACTGAATCTGTGAGATGAGAGACTGAGGACACGAACTACCAAGGCCTGCTTTCCTTCCTAGGCTAGTGTGTCAGTGTGTACCCTAACCGTATCAGTTTCCTGAGGCAGCCATCATAAATGACCTTAAGGAAATCATCCTCTCATAGTCCTGGAGGCCCAAACTTTAAAATCAAGATCTTGGCAAGGCTTCATTTCTTGCCTCTGATGCTCCAGGGAGACTTGCTCTGGATCTTTCCAGATTCTAGTGGCTCTGAGTTGTCCGTGACTTGTGACTCTGATGTGACTCCCATCACTGCCATGTTCCTGTCGCCCCCTCTGTGGCCTCCTTCCCTTCTGCCTGTGTGCCTTCCATTTGTGGACATATGATGAGGACACCATTATCTGTTAGTTCAGGATCCATCAGTACAACCCAGCGCGATGTCTTCTTTCAGGCCTTTAAGTCGATCGTATCTGCAAACAGGGCCATGGTCATCGACTGGTTGAACCTTTTAGAAGGCTGTCATTCATCCTGTTATGTCTAACTTTCTTCACTGTCATCATTTTTAGTGAAACTCTATATAGCCTCTACTTAATTCATGGTGTTTAGAAATGTGCTACCATTTTCATTTGAGCTAATAATTTATCCTATGTATTAGTGATTTTTAATACTTTTAATCACCCTATTATTATCTCCTGTATACAGGTGAGGAAATTGAAATAAAAAAATGGAAGATCTTGCCCAAAATTACAACAAAGCTATTAAAATTGTTAGTCTGTGTTTCAAGCTTGTGCTCATATACGTGTATATGTGCATGTCTTTCTTTTAGAAATCATCGTATCGGGTTGTACCAGATGGATTTTCTTCCTTAGAGCTTTGACCTCTGTGTTTCTCTAGGTCAGATAATTGTCCATAAAATCTACAGCATTACCGGAGGGACAGCCTGCCAAAGTGGTGATTTGAAGAATGAGAGCCTTGGCATGAGAATCATGTCAGGGCCACTTCACCAAAGGCTGTCTTCCAACCCTCAAGTACCAAGTACTGGATACCTTAGCTTGAAATAGATTTTTTTTTTAAAATGGGTTGTAAGCACACCACAAGCAAAGCTTGGGAACACACGCACACCTACGGTTCAGTTGGAGTTTGGTCTCCTGCATTATGATTGACTGTGCTGTTACAGTATTTGCCCTTTCCCATGCCTCCATTTCCCTATTTGTGAATGGATGATAATATCTCATTCATGCTATTTAAGAAACAAATGACATGATAATATACTTCAATAGCAGATGCTTTAAAGACTCCATATGATCGTTAATCATTACCAATTATAAGTAGTTTACGCAAAAAGCAATAAGGAGAGTATCCGTAAGAGTTTTATCAGGCCCCCCGCAGAACATGGGCGAGCGTTTCAGAGTTGCTATGTTACCATGCTCATGTTAATGTGATTTTCTTTTTCGAAAAATGTGTTTCTGTGCCCTCCCTCCTCTGGGTACCATTCCAACACCTCTCCCTTTGTGGCTGTTTCCCCACCCTACTGTGTTATTTATTCTTTGGGGATGGGGTGTAAAGTGGGACTTTCCACAGTAGCGCTAAAGGTTTTCTAGGCTAGCTTTAGATTTCCAAGGTAATAGGGTATGTTATCGAGTCTGAAGAAACAATCATATTGTCTCTGCTCCATATTCATGACTCTGTCAAGAACACTTGAAACGGCTGTCTGCTGAGATGTTTACTACTGTTTTTGAAAAGTTTATGGTGACTTCCAGTCCACCAACAAAAGATTAGAAGACTCACAGCGCTGGGACCGTTTAGCTCTAAGTGGATATTGTCATCTGCAGGCTAATCCCAAGTAAAAGTGGTTTACAACTGTCAAATTGTATTAGATTACTTCTTGGTTCTTTTATATTCATGTCATAGCTTCAACATTTGTAATATGTCAGTAGAGCAGGCAGGAAGATGATCAGAGATTCTCAGTCATTTATTGCTGCCTTTTTTCCTTTATTGGTTTTCTTTGCTAATTTTAAATTTATGAACCTCATATAAAACAGCATCTTTCTTCATGAGAGTCAATGTCTGTAATGAAGATGAATTAATGTGCATTCCTGATAGACTTGAGACATTACCATTACCATCTATTGTTTTATAGATTTATTTATGAGTAAATGTTAGGACATGGAAGTGAAATGGATTGTCTTTATGTTAAAGCATGACTCAAAGACAGAAGAATATATTTAGTTCTGATTTCATCCCTTTCAGCCATGACTTACTTCTCCACATGCCCCCTCCAGTCAGGAAGTAAATTCATTTCTGGGCTTAGAATGCCTTTAATTGTCATCGTTTAAGGGAAACTAATTCCAATGTGCATTGCTGCTTTATACAAATAGAATTCTAATCATGCCTGTAACCATTGTCCTTTGCTGGCAAATATGATAGCAGAGTTTCCATTTGACCAAGAAGAAATGAAGTGGGCTTCATGAGTTGTTTCACACGGTGTCTTTTCCCACCTCCAGGTGAGCACAAAATGCCGAGGCCTCTGGTGGGAGTGTGTCACCAACGCTTTTGATGGGATACGAACCTGTGACGAGTATGACTCCATATATGCAGAACACCCCTGTACGTACACTGCAAACCTTCCTTTTCGCCAGAAAGGGTGTGCCAAGGGATTCTGAGCTCAAATTTCTATTTGTTTATGTTTACTGCTATACGTATTGATGCTTTAATTTGAAATATTGATGATTAGAAATTGATATCATTTTTGAAACGTCAATCATATTTCACCTTTCCCCCTGATTTTGTAAATCCTTTTATAGTAAAAATATTGTCTCATCTATGTGACAAGGGACCTGACACAATGCCTTATATACAGTGGGCTTATATATAAGTATTTCAGTAATTAAAACTTCCCCTTTGGGTGTTGTGAGTTTATCATTAGTATTGACAAAGTAGATGAATAGCATTCGTAGATGGGTTCCAACTATGACTTAGCTCAATCAGAAAGTTTCCTGGGTTTTCTTTTCCCACTTGAAGATTTGCTAAGATAGATTTGTATCAGATGCAGAGAGAGAGAGAAAGAGAGTCAAAGAGAGACAGGATATTGGATCAGGACATGAGTGCCAGATGGGGAGAGAGAGAGAGAGAGAGAGAGAGAGAGAGAGAGAGAGAATATCGAAGCAGGACATGAGAACACCAGTAAATGTGAGGGATCATCATTGTCGGTGTTGGAGTCGATTCTTTCATCCTACTTTCTTTTAGCTCTAAATCCTGCCTTGATATTTGCAAGGCCATGTTCTTATAAATAAAACAATCTTTAAATTAACAAGCCCTTGTTGATGGCCTCAATCCTTCTCCAAGGCATTGACTTATTTACTAAGAATTTTGAACCATGCCAAGAAATACCAGTCCTGCTACGAAAGGCAAGTGCTATTAGTGCCTTTCAAAGCCAATGATGGGTGGTAGTGCCCCATGAGAAGATAAATGAAAAGTGGGTCCTATGTAATGCTCTTTTCCCCCAGATATCTATTTCAGTCCAGAAAAAAAAACCCAAAAACACTTAAACAGAACAATCTTCAAAAAAACTTCATTTGTATTTTTGGAGTTAGGTGTCTGAAATATTTTTTGCCATAACTTATAAAGCTTTTTTATTAAATTTTTGTTTAGAAAAGGTTTTTTTTGATTTTTAAATTAAAGTTTTTTTATTCATTTTACATACCAACCACAGATCCCCCTCTCATCCCTCCTCCCACTCCCCCCACCTACCTTCCCCTGCCCTCATCTACCCCACATCCCCTCCTCCAAAAGGGTAAAGCCTCCCATGGGGAGTCAGTAAAGCCTGGTACATTCAGGTGAGGCAGGACCAAGCCCCTCCCCCCTGCATTTAGGGTGAGGGAGGCATCTAACCATAGGTAATGGGCTCCAGAAAGCCAGCTCATGAACCAGGGATAAATCCTGATCCTACTGCCAGGGACCCCTCAAACAGACCAAGCTATACAACTGTCTCCCATATGCAGAGGGCCTATTCCAGTCCCATGCAGGCTCCACAGCTGTCAGGCTAAAGTTTATGAGTTCCTATGAGCTTGGTTCAGTTGTCTCCGTAGATTTCCCCATCATGATCCTGATGCCCTTTGCTCATAGAATCCCTGTTCCTTCCTTTCGACTGGACTCCAGGAGCTCGGCCTGGTACTCAGCTGTGGATCTCTGCATCTGCTTCCAACAGTTACTGGATGAAGGCTCTATGATAACAGTTAGGGTACTCACCAATCTGATTACCAGGGTAGGCCAGTTCAGGCACCCTCTCCACTATTGCTAGTAGTCTAATCTGGGGTCATCCTTGTGGATTCCTGGGAATTTCCCTAGCACCAGATTTCTCCTTTACCTCATAATGTCTCCCTCTATCAAGATATCTCTTTCATTGCTCTCCGACTCTGTCCCAGCTAGACCATCCCATGCCTTCGTGTTCTCATCCCCCATTCTCTCCCCTCTATTGCCCCCCCCCACAGTTTATTCATGGAGATCTCATCTATTTCCCCTTCCCAGGGCAAACCAAGCATCCCTATTAGGGTTCTCCTTGTTTCCTAGCTTCTCTGGAGATGTGGGTTGTAGTCTGACTATCCTTTGCTTTACATCTAATATGTGCTCATGAGTAAGTACATACCATGTTTGTCTTTCTGAATCTGGGTTACCTCACTCAGGATGAGCTTAAAAAAGTTTTAAGACTCCCCCATTTCCTCCCTATATTCAATTAGTTTTATCTACACACACACACACACACACACAAATAACCAACATGATTTGATGAATAGGAATGGCCAAGCTTTCAGCCTATTCTAAAAATGCAATGTGTAGACAAACATATTTATTTATTTTCTTAATTATTTATTTATCATGTTGTTTGTTTATTCATTTATTTATTTACTTATTTATGTGGGTGGGGAGTGGGGCATGGACATGCCGTGGTATAGTTGTGAAGGTCAGAGAGTTAGTTCATTCCTTCTTTCTGGGTTTCGGGGATTGAAGTCAGGTCTTCAGGCTGGGAAATAAACCCCTTTATCTGATGAGCCATCTTGTGGGTGTGGGAAGACAATCAAGAATTAGAACTTTTAAATGTTGGTACATACAGTGGTGGAAGAAGACCTAGAACCTTTCTTGAGGAAAATAACTGTTGATATTTTAATATGCTACTTTTAATGCTTTGCTTGTGCTATCTCACGTCTGTCCTTTGTTCTTGCTTAAGTTTTCATAAGTTGAAGACCTTTCACTTTTATTTAAATATTGCCATATGTTTAAAGACAGTGATGATAAAGATGTGTTCTGGAAAAACAACATCTCTATATTCTATTGGTTAGGATGCTATCTATGAGGAGTAGAGATTTCTCCTCATTTTATCCTAAATTCATAGAATCGAGTTCAATAACTCCTACAATTTGCCCTGTATACCTAGGGTATGTGACTCCAGATGGACATTTGTCCCGTGGCGCTTCTCTTCACAAAAATAGTTTGAGCAACCCCAAATAAGAAAGCTAACCCTGTTCTGCTAGCCAGAACTCAACCCCCTCCAAATGAAATTCTTCCATAGCTAGCCTGAACATTTTACTTGTAGGTCTGCCCTCCTGGAACCAGGGTGACCATGGGCTCAAATCCTAGAGTTTCACAAAGACCCTCTGTATGGAACAGAACATGGGAGAGTCTCTAGAGGAAGAGGAAACTGGGGCCCATGTAGATATGGATGAAATCAGACTATCTCATCCTAATGGCATTAATGGCCTTGGGTGAGGCAAAGTTTTCTCAGTAGGGGGCCCACTCATCTATGCCAGAGATAATCAAGAAGGTGTGTTGAAATAAAGGAAAGTAAAGCAAAGTAGCTCATAAAGCTTAATATTCTTAATCTTTCTTTCAGTTTTGAGGCAGGGAAGTCAATGTAACAGGGACTTGAGATGGCTGGTCCCATTACACTCACAATTGGGATGCAGGGAAAGGTGAACACTTGAGGTCAGTTCACTTCATCCTTCTCACATAGCCCATGACTCCAACCTAGGAAACAGCTGTACACTTTCAAGATGGGTAATTTCCATCTCAGTTAACTTCACTGATGAATCCTTTGTAGACAGGCCTAGAGACAAAGCAATCCCTCAGTCACGTGTCTGGAGGCTTGTCTCCTAGGCAATTCCAGATCCTGTCATGTTGACAGTAAGAATCATCACAATAAAAATATATGGACATGTATAGAGTATAGTCACCTGCTGATAAGGTAAGAGGAAATTTCGTGCATGTAGACAAATTGCTAAATGGTCTTATTAAATAAAAACATGGAGCCCGATATGGGGTGAAAACCTGAGAGATCAGGGAAATAGGGAAAGCCACAGCTAACCTCACCTCACCAACTCCACAGCTTCCAAAGAGAATGTGACTTGCTGTATATCCACGCCTATATTCCTTTCTGTTCTGTTCTCTCATTGGCTGTCTCAGCCCAGCTACATCACTTCCCCTACCTGCCCAGCTCTGTCACTTCCTGGCTGTCTGTACAGACCTTCAGACCTCTATGGTTGGTGCTGGGACTAAAGGCGTATGTCACCACACTTGGCTCTGTTCCCCACTGTGGCCTTGAACTCACAGAGGTCCAGACAGATCCCTGCATCCCAAGTGATAAGATTAAAGGTGTGTGCTACTATTGCCTGACTTCTGTGTTTACTTATAGTGGCTGTCTTTTTCCTCTGATCTCCAGGCAAGCTTTATTTATTAGAGCACAAATAAAATATCACCCCAGGTACACTGACTTTTTTTTCTTCTGCAGGTGTATCACACACATCTTAAAATTTTAAACAGGGAAAATTGGCTGTGTTTCCACAAACATAAGCCAGAATTTTATTTCCTCACTGGAAAAAATATTTAAAGACAGGGAGGTTCCAGATTATTATGCATAAAATATAATTAGTACATAATAAAAGGAATAAATGTATTAATCTTTTCTATGATCCAGGTAATGTAACAGTAGTTCATACGCTATTTGGGATATAATTTCCTTTCTTTTTAGTATATAGGGTGAAACACAAGGTCTCCTGCGTGCTAGTACAGTGTTCTATCTCTGAGCCTTATCCCCAGCCCTTCTTATGTAGAAGTCTGTGTAACTGTCACTCAGAGTTTTGATCCCACCACAGCAGCTGCTTCATGATAGTTTTGAATTTTGTGAAAAATTACAGGCGCTCATATTGAAGCCTATATAAGTATGAGTTCTGAATTCTGTGCGTGGCCTTCTGTTGCTTTGTCTAATCTTGTGTTCTGTGATGTTCTTGTGGGAGTTACCATGTCTCCTCTTCTCCACACTTTCCCAGTGAAGTTGGTGGCAACCCGGGCACTGATGATTACAGCGGACATTCTTGCTGGCTTTGGATTTATCACCCTGCTCCTTGGGCTCGACTGTGTGAAGTTCCTACCTGGCGAGCCACACATTAAAGTCCGCCTCTGCTTTGTTGCTGGGACCACACTGCTTATTGCAGGTACTGGCTTGGTTTGTTATATCCAGAGACTGTGAGTCCCTGATCATTCTCCGGCTTTGCTACCGGAATTTATCACTTCTCCTCATTTAAGGCACCGTATCCACGACCTGCCTCCTCACAGTGTACAGCTCTTATATATAGCCGTGAATTTAATTAACAGGCGTCATGCTGTGTAAGTTTGTTTTAGAAAAAAAAAATTAAGGCTTCACTAGATACTCTGTTTTTCATAAAACAATAAAACAAAAATTCAAGTCACTTAAGAAAATCCTTGTAGGTGTTACAATAAATGCAGTCAAATTAAATGGCCCAAGATAACTAAGGATCAAAAGCATTGTCTCAAATGAGTCTGCCACATACACAGGTTTTTTTTTTTTCTTTATTTTATATAAGAGATTTTCTGGTCGTGTTACATATCAGTCATGGATTCTCCTGTCCTCCCTCCTCCCACTCTCCAGCCTTTATAAGCACGTCTGCTTTGAAATTTGCAAAAAGGTCTTTCTAATTAGTTGGTAAGTGTAACAGTGTGGTAGAAAGGGATGGAAACATACCCTTTTTTAATAGTTACATGTTTGAATTGCTTGGACGAACAGTTAGAACCATAAACCCAAATAATATCTAAAATAGATATTGGCAACTCTCCGGGAGGGAAGACACGATTTTCTCAGAGGGCAAACATTTTTCAAAACACCCTTTTCAACTCATTGCTCTGCCTCCCACTTGTCGCCTTTCTCGTTCAGATCTGGCCTTTGATACGCAGTTCATACTTAGAATAGTGGAACCCTGTGCTGTCATTTCAAACCAGTCAGTTGTTCAAGGGGCTAATCTGTGGGCTTCAGTCAGAATGCAAAAGGGATGCAGTTTTTCTTGGCTCGTTTTGACATGGTGTGGAATATGGAACAGCGGTTACTAGAAAAGAACGAGCTTTATTTTATTTTATTTTTTAACATGGGATGTGTTTATCTCCCCCTCTGCCCCTAGCACACTGAATTGAACGGCATTAGATACAGTTTACATGTGGGTATTGGCTGCATATCTGAGATAGCCCGCTTTACCTGTGGATGTTGACCGTATCTGGAATAGCCCAGTCTATGTGGGAGTGTTGACTCTGAATCTGGAACAGCATGAATCCTAGTTAGCGTTACTATTGTTATGCTCAAACACCACGACCAAAAGCAAGATGGGGAGGAAAAGGCTCATTTGGCTCATACTTCCACATCATAGTCCATCATGGAAGGAAGTCAGGACAGAAGCTCAAACAGGCCTGGAACCTGGAGGCAAGAACTGAAGCAGAGGCTGTAGAGGGGTGCTGCTTACTGGCTTTCTCATTATGGTTTGCACAGCCTGTTTTCTTATAGAACCCAGGACCGTCAGTCCAGAGATGGCACCACCCACCCTAGGCTGACTCCTCCCCCATCAATCACTAATTAAGAAAACGTCCCACTACCAGATCTTATGGAGGCATTTTCATACTTGAGGTTCCCTCCTTTTTAGCTTATGTAAAATTGGTATAAAACCATGTAGCACAGCAAGGTTATCTATGGGTCTTGACTGTGTACTGTGACATCACAGTTTATATGAGAGTGTTAACTGTGTATCTGGGACAGCATGATTACATGTGGGTGTTGGCTGTGTATCATTTGGAATAGCATGGTTACATGTGTGTGTTGATTGCATATCTTGGACAACACAATTACATGTGGGTGTTGACTGTGTGTCTGAGACAGCACAGTTTACATGAAGGTGTTGACCAGGTACCTAGAAGAGCTTCAGACAAGAGTCTTGGAAGCAGAATTTTTTTTTTTTTAACAGAATATACTTTTAATTGAAAATGAACATAGAAGGCCTAGAGTGTGGTGGTGCACACCTTTAATCCCAGCTCTCAGAGGTAGGTGGATTTTTGTGAGTATGAGGCCAGCCTGATCTACATGGTGACTTCCAGGATAGTGAGGGCTGTGTAGAGAAATCCTGTCTCAAAAACTGAAATTTTAAAAAGAAGAAAATTAACATAGAATGAAAACATGTTCTATATTATTTGTGTTTCCTGTTTTCAAATTTTGTTTTAAATATTTTCATTTATGAAATGCTCATGAGCCACATAAAGCATTTTGTTGAGGGACAAGACATATATATGATGGGAGCCTCATGAGAGCATAATGGAACTAATAATTCATTTTCCCTAGGAATGCAGTAACTGTCATATCATCCTAGCATAAGGCATTTCTCATATATTTGTGGCAATGTTGGCACAGATGAACATACACAACTATAGCACATGCTACTTGATGATAATGCACAGTATGTTAACTGCTGATATAGTTAGTATATTTTTATCATTACTTTATAGTGTATTCCTTCCACTTAAAAAATGTTTTCTGTAAAGCATCGTACCCTGTTACAGCAGACTTCTGTCACTCATGGTTATTGCATTTCTTCACTGCATTATTTTCTCCTGATATTGACCTCAATTTAAAATTGTTTTGCTCACTGTGGCCTTGGAATCAATGAGCTGTGATATTTTTGTACACATGTAAGTGTGTGTGTGCACATAGGCATGACATGTAGCTCATGTATATAGCATGCCACCACACAAATTTCTCTGTTAAATGATATATAGCTAAACAAAAATAACTTTGGGAAAATGTGAAACTTTTAAAAAGAATCATAACAATCATTTTAGAGTTACACAAACAGATGAGAACTGTGTTATTTCATTTTAGTGTAAATAAATGTACCACATTTTTTTTTATCCATTCTTCGGTGGGGGGGCATCTAGGTTGTTTCCAGGTTCTGGGTATTACGAATAATGCTGCTATGAACATATTTGAGCAAGTGTTCTTGTGGTATGATTGAGGATCCCTTGGGTCTTGAGGTAAATTGATTCCCAATTTTCTGAGAAGTTACCGTACTGCTTTCCAAAGTAGCTATACAAGTTTGCACTCCTACCAGCAGTGGAGGAATGTTCCCCTTACTCCACATCCTCTCCAACATAAGATGCCCTCAGAGTTTTTGATTTTAGCTGATTTGTTTTGTGAAGAGGGACACTGAAAGGCAACAGTAGAAGCTGTCCAAACTTCAATTGTTCGTGAATCACAGTAGCAGTATCACTGCTTCAGATGACACTATGCATTTCAAACAATAAGCAGGTCCTTGTGACTTCAATCTGAAGAATGCTCTGCATTATTCCTGAACCCTGCCCCCACCCATGTCTCTTTCAGGTGCCCCTGGAATCATTGGTTCTGTGTGGTATGCTGTGGATGTTTATGTCGAGCGTTCTTCTCTGATTATACACAATATATTTCTTGGGATCCAATATAAATTTGGCTGGTCCTGCTGGCTTGGAATGGCTGGGTCTCTGGGTTGCTTTTTAGCTGGAGGTCTCCTCACCTGCTGTTTGTACCTCTTTAAAGGTAAGGACAAAGCAGAGTAAGAGCTACTCTTTTACGTTTGTCTTTCCCAATTCAAAAGAAACACTTCTCCATCAGACCAAATGACTCTGATACCCTTCACAGTTTCAGTTGTTCAAAGACAACTGAATTGCAGTACTCAAGATCTATCACAGTAGTAGATATTAGTAGCCAAGAAAATCCAGAGTTGCAACTCTGTCTAGTATCTAAACATGCACCAGCAGTTTATGTACAATGATCATTGTTATGCATCTAACCTCACTAAATCAATTAAATTTATGTTTAGGGTTAAATGGAGAGCTTGCCTGAGGGCCAACCAACTTTTTTTTTGATAAGGAACTTAATATATGATATTATGATATTAGTTTTCTAAAAATCTACCTGAAATACCTAGATCTCTTCATCATAAAACAAAGGAAATTATTCAGCCACGTTTTTGATATAAAAATAACTTCAGTTTGAAATACTCAGAACTTCATCTGAGATTTAGGATTCCTAGATGATTTCAACTGAGACTTATGTGTGTGTGTGTGTGTGTGTGTGTGTGTGTGTGTGTGTGTAAAAGAGAGTATATATGTGCATGTGTGTGAGTGTGTGTGCATATGTATATGTGTCTGTGTGTTTGAATGTATGTGTATATATGCATATGTGTGTGCATGCATGAGTGTGTATGTGTCTGAGTATGTAGTATGTACACAAGCATGTGTTTGTGCGTGTGTGTCCTGGTCTGTTTTGGAGAATAGCATATAAAATGACTCTAGTTTTTTATTTTTGAAAATTAACTGGGTCATATTTATTTTCATTTTTCTACATTTCTCTCTTTGAAACAGATGTTGGACCTGAGAGGAACTATCCTTATGCCATGAGGAAGCGCTATTCCACTGCAGGTACTTCCATGGCCAAGTCCTACATGGCCCCTCGGACAGAGACAGCGAAAATGTATGCTGTAGACACCAGGGTGTAAAATCGGCCAAATGTCAATCTGTGCTTTATGTTATTTAATTAATCAATCAATGTGTTCAAGTTAATAAAAATAACTGATCAATTTCGGAGTATTTTGTTAACATTTCAAATTCAACTCATTAATTGCTGGGTCAATCAAAATACTTGATTCTGCTGTCACATCTTCTATGAATCTCTCTACTGTTGCCCCACAGGCACACTCTATTTTGAGTTAAGGCTGATAGAATGTAGAAATATGTTTCAGATATCTTTATTGCTTTTGAAGATTATGACGTGGTGATATTAAAGTGAAATGATGCTTCAGAAACACAAGGCAATTTTAAACAGGTCCAAGGTTCTAATTTTGAAAGGATCGAGGAGCTCTTAGCTGTTCCTGACTCAAAGCACAGTTTTTATATTCTCAGGGAATTCGTCAATAACTTGAAGGAAGGTTATTGTTCTAAATTTAAACTTGTATAGATCAGAATCTAACATATTCAAATATTATTAAAATGGAAGCAGAAAATACCAGCGTCATGTACTAGCCTCCAATGGGAGCTGCAGATGGGAGCTTCCCTTTCACATTCTAAATGTCAATGGTAAATGTTAAATTGATGTTGGAGTCAAGGGCAATTTCTCCTCACTAATGCAAGAGACCAGAGGAAAATTTTCGTAGCACCCCAAATCTGCCTATACATTGCCAAATTATGTTCGGTTGTATAATGACTTGACCAGGGAGTCATTCACATATGGATTGAACATCCAAAATGCACCACATTAGAATTCACCAGTGAAGATGCCCAATCATTGCCAGATGCTCAGAGTCCAGCTGCTAAATATTCAGTATGTAACAAAATGTAGAAAATACGTATTGATTTTAATATTCTCAAGTTGTTCCTCCAATCTACAGAAGAAATTCCTCATAAAATATATGAGGTTTGTTTTGAGAAAGATAAAAAAGAATAATATAAACACCTAAAGAAGTCAGTGAAGGCTCTTAAAGAGATGTATGCATATTTACAACATGATATATTGAATGTTTTTAATCATAAAGTTCTTTAAAGGCTAGAAAATTTAATATCAATTTTCCCAGTTTCTTCTCATTCAAACAGATAATGTGAATATTCTTATACTACCTTAAAAACTGTCAAACAAACTAAAATTTAATTCTTTGGGAAAGGAGAAAGGAAGTTGTGAGTTTCTGGACCCCTCCCCCCCAAAAAGTGCTTCTAACTCAGAAAACTAAGAGTAATATGAAAATGAAATGTCGGAACCCTACTGTGTTTGATGAATTCATGGAGATATCTTAGAATATCCTCTTAATGCTGGCTTCTGGAGTAATTATAATCCAATCTTACTACTAAGAACAGCTGGATCCTCCTGCCTCACAGATGTCATTAATGTTGTGGCAGACACATAAAAATCTGCATGATCATCATATGGATATTATTCTACACATTTCCAAACCTTTTGCACTTTTTTTCCCTCTAACTTGCTTTTAATTTTGAATGTTAGTTGGGAATGTTTTGAGCTTAAGCACACATGCACTAATTAGTTGACCTCTCCTCTTGACTATGTATGCCATGTTCCTATGCCCTTGATTTTCCCACAGTAATGAGCTACAGCCTAGAACTTGGAGCCAAATAAACCCTCTAATAAACTTCTTAAGTTGCTTTGGTTAGGATGCTTTATCACACCATGAGAAAATGAAACTAAGGTATTAGGTGTCCTCCATTACTCTATCTTATTGCACTAAAACAGGATCTCTCACTGAACCTGAGCCTGGTAGCCAGATAGCCTCATCAATCCTCCCATCTCTGCCTCATACCACAACCCTCCAGCACTGGGGAAACGGGCTTGAGACACCACTCCCAATCTCTTACTTGGGTGTTGGGGATCCAAACACAGGTTCTCATGCTCAGCAAGTGTTTTTAGTCACTACATGGTCCTTACAGGCCTTCAACCTTGTATTTTTTTCCTTCTGCTTTAATTTTGTCACAGTATCTATCACACTTTAGATAGTGTAATAAGAATCTTACAGTTCTTCCAAGGAAAGACAAGAAAATTAAATAGTCCTCTAGATTGTAAATGGTTTTGAATTTTAAAGATTTCATTTGTATGAGACTATTTCAGAGACTGGTTATATTTCAAAATTTTTTATTAATTAAAATGTTTTTTAAAATATATCAGTATTAAAATGTACCAGTAATTAAAATATATTTGGGATTTTGAAAGTTATTTGAAATATTTATTCTTAGTACACTATAGTTTAATGAAACATCACAAAACTAAGCATAAAACGTTTTCTTGTATAGTAGCAGATGCAAAACAGATATTAGTTACAAATGAATGGGACAGAGTGGTCACTCAAAATGCCAAGAAAGAAAAAGATAACATAAACCTAAGTGCACACACATGATGCTCTTAGGCTGAGGCATGAAAACAATCAATATACTGTTTTCTAGCAGTTAATTGTTGCTGCTCACCACAATACAAAAGATAGGATGGGATAAAACTGCAATGTTGTTTACCTCCCCTCCCACATATATTGAAAGTTGCCTTTTGCCATTATACACTTATATATGCCTCATAAGAAGATGTAAACTACAAACAATCAAAAATATGTTTTATTTAAATATTGTGTTAGTATTATTTTCATTATATCCAAATACCTGAGAAAAGCTTAACAAGGGAGGCATTGTTTATGTTGGTGTTGATCAGTATTTTAGAGCTGTTAGTCCATCCTCATAGGGAAAGCATGTCAGAGCAGAGAACCTTCATCCTGATCACAAAGCAAAAAATAGAAGGAAGAATCCAGGACAAGATGTAGATGCCAGAGACACATCCCTAGGGACACATCCTCAGGGACACGCCCCCAGTGACCTTCCAACATCTCATCATCCAAATTGGGACACTTGTACAGTGAAGTTTGCATATACTCATGTGAGGGTGACATGGAGACACAGGTGTGTCCCTTTGCTGCTGAAAATGATGTGTACAGGTTTTCAGTGCTATGCATTTTAAAATATCATTGGGGACCCAGAGTTTCTTTGATTGAATCCATTCTAATTATTTTATTTCCCAAACTATCGTGCTTTGGTTAGGAAAGGCTTCATCAGATACCTTGAATGTTTTCTATTTACCATCTTGTCATTAGTTTTTCCAATAATGTTACTGTTGAAGTATATGCACAAAAGAATACTCGGTGGCCACATAGTCACAGTGTGAATTTACCTGTGCAGTCAGACGTATGCTGTATCAGTCACTTTGTTATTGCTGCGACAGAGTATCTGAAAACATCTAAATTCAGGAAGGGTTCATTGTGACTTTCAGTTTCAGTCCACCCTTGTGTGGAAAGCCTGCTGGGACAGAGTAGCTCATGTCCAAGAAGCCAGAAGCAGGGGGCAAGTGTGCTACCTGATTTTGCCCATTCTCACCTCTATAATAAGCCTGGCCAGGTTCGGGGTAGGGTTTCCCTCCTGATAAATCTGCTCTGGAAAAGTCCTCATAGGCACAGCCAGAGGCGGGCCTCATGATGACCTCGGTGCTTCTCAGTCTGGTCCAGTTTTCAATCAAGGTTAACCATCAAGGGTCAGAGAAGAGACAATCCCTCCACAAGGTTTGGATCCTGCTCTCCAGCCCTTACTCTCTTGGTTCCTGGGGTAACGGCCATCCTGTTTCAAACACAGTTGATCAGTTTTATCAGTTTTTGAACAATTGTCTATTTATCACTCCTGCCCAGCTTCTTTCTCTCATACTGTGAAGTTTAAGACACATCTGCATAGTTGCACGTGGCTAAATAGCTTATGTAGTTTAGGCTGTGAATTCTGTTACTGTACGTTGCTGCGTGAACATGCTCACAAACTCCATGTTAGTAGTGACAATTGATTTGTTTCCAGTATTTGCCTATTACAAATAATGTTGCCATGAGCATTCCTGAATGTGGTTTTGGCAGACATCTGCACTCACTTTTCTTGTAAACGTACCTGGGAGTGAGATTGTTCTACCACAAGTATGTGTATACTCATTATAATGGATGGAGTAGTTTTCCAACATGCTAGTACCAGCTTCATTCTCACAGATGTGTGAAAATTCTGGTTGCTACACATTTGTATGAACACTGGTGTTCTCTCTTCCTATAGCCAATCTAGTTTTTATACATTGTCATCAAAAACAAAATTAAAATTCCATTTAATTTTAGTCTCCCTAGTGGATAGTGGACTGTTGTATACTGTGTAAGTTTAATTAGTCATTTGGATATTATAAAAATGAGTTTAATATTCAATGCATTTACAAGTTTTCCTATTGTGTTCCTTGTTTTTTTCTTATTGATCTTTAGGTAGTTATCATTTATTTCTTACATAAGGCCCTGTTCAGAGATACAAAACACGAATAGAACGCATTTTTTAAACTCTGTGAATGCTGCTTTTGACTGAAATTATTTTTAACATGATCCAGGTCTTTATATTTGTTTGGTAGCTATTTTTTTTCATGTTCTAATTAAACATTTCTGACTTTCTGGGGATATTCTCCTCTGCCTTTTTATAGCCTACCTATCATAATAATCGTTTATATTTTATTTTATTCAAACTGTAACATATATACAAAAGTGTATAAGTCTCAAGTTCATTGAATGATAGTTTTAATAAACCTAACATCCTACATACTACATAATTAGGTTTGAGATCAAGAAACAATAATAAAGTAAAACTCCTGACTTATTGTTTATATACATCCTGCATAATTACTCTGCAATGTGGTTAACAACTGCCTCAACTTTGAAAATCATGTGTGGTTGCTGAGAGAAGATAATTTCCATACACTTTTATTGTGCTGTACAACCACACGGCATTCTTCTTATATTCTTTGCCTTTAATTTCTTTGTTTGTAGAATTGTGAACTTTAAAATTTCAATAATCTGAATTACAATGTAATGATAACATTGTTCAGTTAAATGCATTATTTAAAAAGTTGATTGAATGCTAACACACACATGCCAATGTATCTACTCCACACTTGTGTTACTTATGGATATTAATATCGTATAGAGTGCTTAGAGTATAATACGAGAGAGAATTTTTTTTTTCGGTGTCCAGTGTTAATGCCTCTGAATACAGTTTGCACTAGAGAAATGCTTCATACAACATAGGATTGGCATATTTATTTTGTTTGAAAACACAAACAGTTGTTTGATTTTTTTTGTATCTTTTTATTAAGGAATTTTTTAATTCATTTTGTATAACAATCACAGATTCCCCTGTCTCCCCTCCCCCCCCTCCTTTCCCCCCAACCCACCCTCCGTTCCCTTCTCCAAAAAGGCAAGGTCTCCCATGGGGAGTCCTCAGAGCCTGGTATATTCAGTCAGTAATGTGGCAGGATACAAGATTAACTCAAAAAAAAAATCAGTTGTTTGATTTTTAAATATCATCATCGTTGCCATCATTATTACTATCACTGGAGAAGGAGGCATGCCGTTGCACATGTGTGAAGATCAGAGGTCAACTTCATGGAGTCAGCTCTCTCCTTCCACTTTTATGTGGGTCCTGGGGGTCAAATTTATGTTGTCATGGCTGTGTGGGAAGTTCTTTACCTACCAAGTCACCTAGCCAGTCCTGTTTCCTTCCAAATGCAGTGGAATTCTCAACCATTTATTCCTTTAAGCACTCAAGCTTTCTGCTTGATTTCAGGATGAGTATATTTTAATAAACTTATTTAAAGAATAAAATGAGTGGTTCTGTGGTGTTTTGAATAATTGCAGCCCCTGTAAGCTTATATATGTGAATGCTCCGTCACCAGGGAGTAAGTAGCACTATTTTAGAAGGATTGAGTGGTGTGGCCTTTTTGAGGCAGTGTGTCATTGGGGTGGGCTTTGAGGTTTCAAAAGCCCACACGAGGCCCACTCTAGTCTTGCTTTCTCTGTCTATGGATCAGGATGTAGTTCTCAGCTTCTGTTCCTGTGCCATGAGGGCCACCATGTTCCCATTATGCCTCCACTAAGGTGAAAATGGACTAACTCTGAAGTGTAAGCAAGCCCCAGTTAAATTCTTTCCCTTTGATGAGAGTTGCCTTTGTCATGGTGTCTCTTCCCAACAATAGAACAGGGACAAAGACAGGTTCCAAAGGTGAGAGTGTAAATTCTAAATGTTAACTTTCAGCTTAAAAAAAAATAGAAAAATAAGGATGCAGAAATATATAGAAAGGAAGGTACAGTTATTCTAAGATTTTTCTAATAAGAATATAAAAGATGGGGAGGATGTTATGTGGTTACTGAGTTTATGAAGTAGCCAACCATCACAACATCTACTGTGCTAATTGTACACCACACCTTCACCTCACACTTACCTTGGGAAAGAAGTGATCACAGAAGGAGGACCAAACACCACAGGGTGTCTTAGCATTCTCTTCACAAGATAAATGAACAAACAAGCAAATAAATAAATTTGCACAAACACTTATGAACAATGATAGCCAGAAATGCAACTTTTTCTGCCAAACATTGGAAAAGCATAAGAGAAAAAAAATTAAACTTGGAAAATAATCTATCTTAATGATTTAGAAGTACAGAACAATGTCAATACAATAGTAAACAGAAATTTGGAGTCATCTTATTTAATTCCCTGATTTTATGAATAAAATAATATACAAGACTTTAAAACCAGTAATAGTATATACAATAATAAAAACATATCTAAATCTTTAAGAATCTGAATGTTATAAAAAGTTACATCATTCTATAAGCTAGAAGGCAGATACACTATGACTAATGTATACAAAATAGTATCTCTTATTCCTTCCAAGACAGGAAAATTGAGGTTAGGATGTTTATGTAAAAAACTTCAATATCTCTACTGGAATGCAATCTAGAGTAAGTACTTGTACTACCCATATAGTAAAGTCTTCCTAAGCCAGGCTTTACCATCAAGGATGAAACTGTGATTTCCTAATGAATCTCCTCACCATATCCTTTCCTTTGCATTTTAATCTTCTTTCAAATCAGTTCTTTTATCGTTTTTTGATTTTGTTTCTTTATCTTAATATTCTCAGTCTTTAGAAAAGTTTATCTTAAAATGTATAAAAAATTAAAATGTATTAAGATTCTTTTCAGTTTGCTGGTAAGCAATTGTATTTGAATGTTCATTGAGTTAATTTATAT